TATTCATCATGTTGAGCGAGTTTCTGGCCTTGTTGAGACGGCTCTGAATGTCCAGGTCAGTTCCTCCATCCCTACTGATGATGCTGCCGAGATAGGTAAACCTGTCTGTGTAAGGAAGTTCTTCGTTATCACTCTGGACTGGTCGTGTGTTGGTAGTATTCAGTGTCATAATTTCAGTCTTTTTGCTGTTGATGTTAAGGCCAACTTGCTTTGCAAAGGTGTTAAGGCGTTGCGTCTTCTCTTGAATGTGCTTGTGGGTGTGTGATAGTAAGGCAAGATCATCAGCATAATCCAGGTCTTCTAAGTAGGAAAAAGGGGTCCATCTAATGCCCCTGATCTGATCCTCAGTGATACGCCGCATGATCTAGTCCACAACAAGGTTGAAAAGTATTGTGGACATGACACACCCCTGCCTGACACCAGTGTGGACTTCAAATAAGATGTCACCATCGCCACCACAGCAGGTAAAGTTGTCATAGAAACTTTTGATGATCTCAGCAAGGTGGAAGGGGACTCCATACGTTCATAATATCTTCCAGAGGCTGTGTCAATGCACACTATCGAAGGCTTTGGCAAAATCTACAAAGTTCACATAGAGAGTTCGCTGCCACTCAGTACTCTGTTCAATAATATTTCTCAGCGTGAAAATATGATGGATACATCCCCTTCCTCTCCTGAAACCTGCCTGTTCCTCGCGGAGTTTAAGGTCCACAGCTAGTGATAGGCATTTCATGATGACTTTTGCTAGGATCTTACTAGGAGTAGATAATAGTACAATGCCACGCCAGTTGCTGCATTCAGAGAGAGCTCCTTTCTTTGGTATCTTGATGATGATACCCTCATTCCAGTCATCAGGGATTTTCCTTCTGTCCCATATGGTGTTGAAAAGTGGCNAGAGTTCGCTGCCACTCGGTACTCTGTTCAATAATATTTCTCAGCGTGAAAATATGATAGATTCATCCCCTTCCTCTCCTGAAACCTGCCTGTTCCTCGCGGAGTTTAAGGTCCACAGCCAGTAATAGGCGCTTCATGATGACTTTCGCTAGGATCTTACTAGGAGTGGATAATAGTACAATGCCACGCCAGTTGCTGCATTCAGAGAGAGTTCCTTTCTTTGGTATCTTGATGATGATACCCTCATTCCAGTCATCAGGGATTTTCCTTCTGTCCCATGTGGTGTTCAAAAGTGGCTGCAAGATGTTTGTGGTGGTCACAGCGTCTGCCTTGAACAGTTCAGCATTGAGGCGGTCTTTGCCAGGTGCCTTGTGGTTTTTTAGAGAATTAATGGCTGCAATGATCTCTTCTTTCTTTGGTGGTCCGATGTCAACACTTAGGTCCTCCTCAGCTTCTGGTATATCAGGCTCCTCTTCTGGTGATGGTCTGTTGAGGACTTCCTTGAAGTGTTCTACCCAACGTGCTTCTTGGTCTTTCTCAGTGGTGAGGAGCTGTCCTTGTTTATTTCGTATGGGGGCATTTCTGCTACCAATATATTTTCCACAGATCAATTTAGTGACTTTATAGACATTCCTCTGCTCACCCTTTTTTGCCGCTTCCTCTGCTTCCTTTGCCAGCTCTTCCATATATGCCCTTTTGTCGGTTCGAATCATCCTCTTGACATGCCTGTTGGTTTCTGTGTACGCCGCTATATGCCTCTCTTGGAGTCTGGCTGAACTGCTGTCGTTAATATCTTCTTCTCCTGCTGGCATCTTTCCTCAATAACCTGCCATGTGTCTGGTGTAATCCATTCTTTCTTTTTTCTAGTCTTCTGCATACCCAGACAGGTTTTACTTGCTTCATCAAAGATGTTCCTCACTTGCTTCCACTGTTGATTTACAGTGTCTTCTTCTTCATTGTCTTGCTCGTCTATGTTACTCAGGGCTTGGAACGTGTTCCTCAGCTGTAGGACAAAGGCTTTCTTAGTCCTAGGGTCTTGTAGTCTGCTGATGTCATATCTAGGGGTGGTGTATTTGTTTGGTCCAGCTGCTCTGAGTTTCAGTCTCACCTTTGCAGTCACAAGATGGTGATCACTGCTTGCATCAGCCCCTCTTTTTATTCCGGAGGCTCATGCTGCACAGATTATTCATGTAAGTTACACGTGGCTGTTTCTGCAACAAAAGCTTTTTACATGACAGGGTTGTTAGCCCTGTGCAAAACCCCCAATCCTGGAGGACCAGTAGATTGCTCTTTGTCTGGCCCCTAACCTTCGACCTGTCTGGCATGGGTGGCCCTACCAGGACCTTGAGAGGTCCAGCCAGCATAGCTCTCAGGCTCACTGGAACATGCAAGCCCCTCCACCACAACAAGGCGGCAATCTAATTCTGGGGAGCTTACAATGCACAGAGGATGCTTTTCTTTTCATTCCGCCATTTTGAATAACTGTACTGAATAAAGCAACCGCTGTACATAAAAAACGTAGACTCAAATCAAATCAAATATTCTGTGGACAACTCAATTTTGCTCCCATGTGATTTAGTAGCTTAGTCTTTCTCAAACAGACGAAATGATCTTCAGGATGTTACTCATGATTTGTTTTGCTTGTTTTCTGCCGAAAATTATGGCACAGAAGCAGCTAGTCTTCTGTTTTTTTCCTGAGTGCATCAAAATGAAATAGAAATGAGAACGAGGATGAAGCTATGGGACAGCAAGAAATTCCAGTGACTACGCTACAAAAATTCAGAGTGGAGTGTAAGCAGTAGTATTCTTGGCTGGCCTGGACTATAATTATGTGGAAATTTTTGTGGTTTTGCGAGACTCAGT